GCAGCAACAATGGAGTCTGACATTGAGTTATGTACCTTTTGTCACGGTAGGCTGGGACGCCGGAACTAAACTGGGTCGTTGTAACTCGATAAACAGCTGATGTGTGATGTGTTGGAGTATCGTCTTACATTTACGTCGGGTAATAAAACTACGCGTCAGTCCATAGCTCCATATGGCCTTTTGGTGTGTGGCAACGTCGCACCGGCCTATTTCCATGACAATAACAGTAATAACAGATGTGTTAACCTAAACATCCCGCAGACGTTCAGTTATAAATTATTGCAACAATGCAACAGCCGTTTCGGTAGACCGGGTCTTTGTCGTTGCCACTCTTGGCTTGCCAGGGCCTTGTTAGAAAAGGCTACGGACAGTCGCATCGTGTTAAGTAAATTAAAAGCTTAGAACATAGAATGGAGATTGGAGGGACGGCTATTATTTTTCCTTAGATGTTTTGATATAGTTTCAGTCGTAACTAAACCTACTGTAGAAATTGTAACAATTATAAGTAAATTTAAACATACTTAACTCGATATGAACAGTTTGATTTTACGTTTTATGGTAATTAATTGTTGATGTAATGAATCAGATTGAAAAATAAAGCCAAATACTTTGCACTAAGACACGATCAAGACCTACGTGATGCTTACTGTAACTAATTTTCAATAAACATAATTTTTGTTAAACATTACTAATGTTCATAGTCAGAGATTATGCAAAGGAAACAGCTGATAAGCCAATTGACCATCCCTATCACCAACATATCCTTGAACTTTATCATAACTTTCACGTAATTAGCTCGATACTACAGCTATCTAAGTTACGTTTGAGGATTCAATAACCAACAATTTACTTAAGGAGGTGACAAGTAAACTAGTGATAACGAGTAGGATAGCTCATTTTCACTGGTAATTGGATAACAACCTCTTTTCAACCACTGTATATGATAAATGATTTGTAAAAATCTAATTTTTACTTCTTGTTTGAGATTATTTTTGTATTTTTACATTTATATTTATAAAAAAGTTTTTTTAATTTTTATGTGACGATTTTACCATTGATCCTAATCTACTATAGGATGATCACTTCATGATGTTAAAGATGATCCGCTAGGACTAACATAATTTGTGTTTGAGTCATAATAGTTATTTTGATATTGCTAACGGTCCAGTGGTTGAGATAACTTTTGATCTTTTTGTCAAAGGTTTTGCGACCTTAAATGTTGATTTGCGTTATTGTTGTTGGAGCTTGATTAGACTCTAAACAATAATCACTAATGAATATCAAAATTACGATAATGTTACTGATTGTAATTTGAAACTTTTGCTGTTTGTAACTTTTTGATAGCAACACCTCCCTATTAGCCTAGCTATGTAATTATTAGAAAAAGTCCCACAGAGGAAATAAAAAATTTTCAAACATAGTGTCAAATAAATAGTACGTAATGAAATGTATATTTCCGTACAATAGTTAAAGAAATAATTAATTTAAAGCACAATTTAAAGAAATAATTGAGTTTGCTATACAGTAAATCCGTTTCCATTAAATTCGTTTTTAAAATAAAGTTGTCTGGACAGCCGAGCGGTTTTAGTGCTCATCTTCAAATCTGAAGGCTGTTTGCTGTTTTCATCCCGTAAGTGGAGTCGAAGCAAAACATCGACACATGGTAACAAGAGGAAGCTGCAATTAAGTGCAAATGCCGTGAAAGCACACACAATTTTGACATACAAATCAGAATAATTTTAAATCCAATACTGGTTAGGGTGTATATTTGGTAGTTACTTTTTTAAATTTTAAGAAAAGTAACCAAAGGTTTTCTTTAAATTTAAAGAAAAGTATTTTTTACTGTATAAGTAATACTGTTACTTTTGAATATGGGTTTTGCGACGGTCTTTCCAACAAATCTAAAACAACATTCTTATTGATTACTTTTCACTATAGTGCCTGTCACGTCATTTCAACCACAACAACATAATAATCACCTTCCATTCACTTCCGGTTGTCGTGTTCAGCTGTCGGAAGTATATCAGGATTGCCAACTGAGGCATATAAATACTCTGCTCCATGCAAGTAACCTAACACGACTCTCACCAGCACGTGCTAGCTAGATGCATATACTCATCGGATCGTAAAGTGATTCAGTGTTCTAGCTATAGCTATAGTATTTATGTATAGGGTTATTAACGCAACCCAATTATAGTCTGTACGATGTAACCTGTCTCATGACCCTCAGTATATCTGGTACTAGCTAGGGCAGTCCTCATCCCCACGTAGAGGAGGGCCATGAGACAGGTTCCATCATAAAGACCCCAATTTGCGTTGAAAGAACGCCCAGTATATAAAGTACAACTAGTGGCGATAGCTAGAAACAGGTCAGGAGGAGACAGGTTCCATCATACATACTATAGAAGTACAGATAATCACTGTTTACAATCAAAAGCTCTTAAGCTGGCAACCTTCCTCTACTTCATTGATGATTTACTGATGTACATTTTAGCATTGTTGTCTACAATGTTTAGTGTTGTTAGAAATGTAGTTGTCTGAACCAAAGTTGCTGTACAGGAATTTGAAATGTGCTTCATTTACATGTTCATTGCGACAGAGGTTTTAATCATCTTCCGTAGAAAAATATCACAATATAACATCCTAAACAGTGGTATTGCATTGGCGGACAGTCAGGTCGTAAGGTAGAACGGGTAGAACCATGTAGAACCATTGTTTTATCGACTGAAGCTAATGGGCAAAGTTTGTGAATCGCTGAAGTTCTATGATTTCCTACAATGAAACGAGATATATGTTTAAAAAATCAGCTGAAGTTCCATTTATGTGAAAATTCTATTATGGGAACCTCGATAACAAGTCTCCTCAATATGACTTGTTGTCAAGGTTGACATGTCGAGGTTTGCAATAACAAGGGTTGTATGAAGTCATTGGTGGTATTTGAAAATGACTCTTGTTATCAGGAACCACTTTGTCTTCTTATTGAGGTTCCACTGTATAATTTAAAAAAAACTTGGATTTACTTTTACAGATTGGAAAATGGTTCTGGGTTTCAAAACCACCAAAAGTGTTAATTTCCTTATATTTTCTGTAAATACTAAACAAGCAAAGTTATTGGAGGTTTTCTTAAGCACAAATGCTTCGACTCAGATTTGCTGTTAACGCATCCCAAACTTTACACCCAAATCCAAAATAGCACGAGTTTTCCACAACAATGGAACAATCACATTGTTGATGCACTTCCGGTTCAGCTGTCGGAAAGACACTAGGTTAGCCAACCGCGAAGAATGAAATATCCCACGATACAGCCCGCGGACCCACCTCTTCCTTCACGCATGCGCCAAATGCCAAACTTTCTAATCTTGCGCAACTTGTCAAATTGTATGTTGCGTCTGCAAATTAGAATGCTGAACACATTTTCGCCTGCCACTGTAATGAGGGTCTGTTGTTCGCTAAAGTGACTGTTCTTACAAAAGTGTTTTGTTTTGCATACAAGCAATGCCTCTTGAGGCCTTTCCACACCTACCTGATCGTAGGTGTGGAAAAATATATCTTTAAAAACTTGTTTAGCTACTTTTCTTTTATATCTTTTCAAATGGATATTTGTACAAAATAAGTTGTAATGGTCTCTCCCAAAAAGACAGCGAATCAGAAAAAAAGCTACGAGTACACATACTATACTACTCACTCTATATTTATGTCCAGCTTAAAGTACAAAATAAGTACTAAACTGTCGTGATTCAAGGTATAATCATAGAACATAGAATAACAATCAGCTATTTATTTATTCTATGGTGTAATACAGTTCATAATTGATCTGGCAATAGTGTTCTTCCTTTTCCTATAATTGGTTTGATGTTTGAAATATGCAGATGAAGCTATGAAAGTATTCACAAGATGGCTATAATTCCGATTGGCTCATTCAATTGCGTTATTGATCATATTCACCATGATCTAATGCAATGACTCATCATTGAGAGGAGCGTCTCTGCTGCCCTACACTACCCCTGTTTGGTCAATCGCTTTAAGTGTTTAACAATCCATTACGTCACTTCCGGTCTGGGGATATCCACATGAAGCCGCCTTAACATGGTGCCTACTTACAATTGTTGTGGGTTAATTCGTAGAAACGAGTTTTGACTTGTTTAATCAATGAAATGAAATTCGTTAGTTATCTGCGGTTGAGCTAGCTTAAGCTTATTTACAAAAACGCCAGAAAGCCTCGAAAGTAAACATGTTTATAGATGGAACATGTATTATAGCCAATGAATAAATGATGGACCAAAACGATTACATTTTCCTCTTAGAACTGTGCAATGACGTTAGGAAAACATCATTAACATCTAATAACTTAACTAATAGAATCAACTCAGAGATGATTGATGCGGTTTAAAGATTGGTGGCTTACGATTAGGATTTGAAATTTAACTATCTGAGACTTATAAACTCACCGAACGATTGTGTAGTGAAGTTATTTTACATGAGTTTTAAAATGTGAATACTAACCAAACTTTGTATGTTTTCGAGAAATGAATTTTTAAGAAAATTGAACGGAATTTCCACTTTAATATAGTTACAGCACACATTGTCTGTGGTTACAGTTTTGCAATAAAATTGACTTTTGATCCGATTTAATCCCTGCTATTACGAAATCATCATTGTTTGAACTACTTTGAGTGAGATTAATTTGCAGGCCTACGTCAATACACAAACGGATATTTTACATCCGCTCTAAAATAACTAATTATTGTTTATGGAAAAACAAGTGTACATAAGTAATAGTGTAAGGACAAATCGCATAGTTTCAGACATATTAATAATAATTGAGCTACTTTAATGTACAATTATATGCCAGATTTCAACCATTAGGAATACTATTGTTTTTAACATGTAGACGAGCGGTGAAAGTATAAGCATGCAACAAGCGAACACACCCCTTGGAACATTGGCTTTACAAATATTTATACGAAACACAAAAAAATAACTGAAATTGTGAATATTACCTTGGCTGAAGCAGAGGGCTAGTACGGCAAAGGCTGCAATTTTGCACATCATTTTCAACTGAGTTTCGGTAAAGTACGAACAACTTGACAGACAACACTACACTGGTCGAGGTCCCGAGGAGAGGAGCGAGCGAAGACCGAGAGGGGAGAGAATAATAGGGGGTCGGTGGGGGACAGCCCCCTGCAGGGGGGAGGGATCTCCCCCTGTGTCACACCTCAAAATAGACCTTTATGTCAGAACGCCGCTGGGCGATTAAATTTGCTCTTTTTGAGCGATCCAAAACCAAGTGGTGGCAATTTTAGGATCGGAGATTTCTTGAGTAATAAACGAGTACCTGGACACAAGCCATGGCATAGCTTTTGAATGAATAAATGAAACATAATTTATTTCAAAAATAAAATTAACTTATTATACAGAAAAATACAAATTTATATTTTGAAATTGATCCCCAAATGGGCTGTTGCCTGTGGTTGGCGATCGAGTCCATTATCACATAAGTAAAAACAATAAGATTTACACTAAATTACGCCTATATCCAGTAATCTTCAGTGTAATCTTTGCTCAATAGTGACAACTGATATTTTTACCTTTGCACTGTTTTTTGTAATTTGCAAGTATACTGTGATACTGTGGATGGCTTGTTATAAAAACATGCTACAACCATAGATAACTCTTTTGTGTACGTTTTTCCTTGTAATTTTGTTCAATACAATAATAGTTGTTATTGTATTTGCTGAATGTAAAAAAAAACTGAATCGATTGTAAATAAAATTGTGATAAAAAAACCAACGTAGTTACTTGGCAATCCATAAGGCCAATGTTAAAAAATTTAATTTTTCCAACGTAATCTGACTTTTGTTGGTAGTTTAAACTGCAGTATATTTTATCACTAGGTGAGGTATATTACTAAAGTGACTCTTTTTGACCCGAGGTCAAGTTTTACGATCGAGACGAAACCGAGGTTGGAAAATGAGCGAGGGTTAAAAAGTTACTTTTTTGCCCGTGTGGTGAACTATATTTTTCGTCATAGTGCATCGTTAACAAAAACAAAGCTAGAAAACGAAATATTTGTTATGTAAAGATAACCTCTCAAAACGACTTGCAGCTAAATGGTACGTCGAGCAATCGACAACAATAGGCTAAAACCATCTAAAACCTTACCTAATAAATCAATCGATAAATAATTGCGATTGATACGATTGCCACAATCGAAATTTACAACTGTCTTACAACAGCTGATTTTTACTCCTTAGGGTTAAAATGATGTTTACTCCCAGGGAGTAAAAATACTACTTTTATGGCAAGTTCCTTGGTAGATACCGTGCCTACACATGTTTACTTCCCATTCACTAAACCTTTTTCCAAAAATCCCGTATTAATAGACAATCCGTGTTTTCTAAGAATATGACGATGACAGCAATCCCACACTGAAAAATTTACTACTAAACCACTGTTACTTTCCATTGTTAAATCAAAGATTACAAACCCTCTTGTATTCATTGGTTAAACTATGGAATTATCCACTGTAAAATGTACACAATTGTATGTGCTAGGTCTACTCTTAAAAAACACAAACGAATAAGAATTCTTCACTGTTTTTTTTTAATAACAGTTCAACGTGTATTCAAACAACCTAGCCTGTCTCTGGAGCTTTCGACGTTGATAGATAAAACCATTGAACGAACTACAAGTTTTACTTGACTAATTGATTAGTTAATTGTGTAGCCAATGACTGCATTACGTAGTGAGCGGAGCGAGTGAGGGACCTCTAGACCTCGCTAGGAAGGTTTACAAACCGATTATCCACGGTTTAGATACAGCCAATCTCCACAATGACACTGAAGCCAATGCTCGCCAACATAGCATGGCCTTCACTTCAATTCGGGACTTCAATTTTGTTTGAAAACGTCTCATTCTATGAAAAGTAGGCCTACGAGCTACTATAGAAGAAAATACGGCTTAGGCAGCCATAACAGTGTATACTGGTGCTGCTGTGTGTCTAAAAATATAGAAACTATATGATTTAATTTGAAAAGGTACACCGATCTAAAAGTGTAAACCTACTTACTTTGAAAACCCCACTTTTCATGTGAATAGATCCAAAAGAATATGACAACATACCTTAGTGTAGCAATAACATCAATTGGTTGATATTGGTGATTCATGAATGAGATGTTTTACCACGACTCTTCATTTTATTTAAATTACAAATGAAACTGTGAGCAATAGTCAACAACACTTATACAACCTTTCTCCAAACATAACCCTCTTCATTGACCAGCTGTTGCATTGAATACTTTTATCATTCAAACTTAAGCATGTCACCCGTAGCCCTTTAGAAATCGGACAGTGGGGCAGGGCCGCTAAGAAATTCTTCCATACCAATGACTTTCGACAAATATACACAAGCTGTATTTTCCTTCCACCATGCTCTAAGCTTCATTTTGATGTGCCATATGCCTATATCTTTATTTGGTAAATGGTCTTAACCGTTTGCATAAAATTTGATTGTATTAGTTTAATAATATAATTAAACTTTGTGGGTTTTTTTCTTTGTTACCATGGAGACCAATCAAAATTTACTTTTAAAACTCTCACCTCAGAACTTTGAAAGCCCGCGGGGCAGAGTCCTAGGTTAAATCGAAGCGGGAATAGTTCTATATGTATCCTCGGAGCTGTAGCTTCATTTGTGTGCAATTTGAGCCCAGTCGGTTCAGTAGTTTTTGAGTTGATCTAATAAAAACACACAGACAGACAGACACACAGACACCACCTCTTCTTTATCTAATATATAAAATTCTCGTGTCACAGTGTTTGTCTGCAAACTCCTCCGGAACGACTTCACCGATCGTTATGAAATTTGGTGTGTAAATTCTGTAGGTATGCGAATCGGACGTAAACTATTTCCCGTTTCGAAATTCTTAAAAGGGCTCCGCCCCAGTGGCTCTGGAGTTTCCCATGTTAACCTTATGAGAAATGGAATTAATGAATCTTAACAGCTGTTTCAATTAAACAAGTTAGTTCTGTTCTATGATGTTCAATAGCATTAAAGTTACAAGGATTATCAACAGGGTGCAGCACTATTATTTCTTTTACATTTATGACAACAGCTAATTTGCAACCAAAAGGTGAGTGAGCGTAGCGAACGAACTTCAACCTGGAGGCGAGTTAGCGTAGCGAACGAGCTAACCTGAAGGCAAGTGAGCGCAGCGAACGAGCTCCAACCTAAAGGTGAGTGAGCGTAGCGAACGAGCTCCAATCCAAAGGTGAGTGAGCGTAGCGAACGAACTTCAACCAGGACGTGATTGAGCGATGCGAACGAGATCATCTTGAAAATTAAACGTAACGGTACTTTCTTTCCATCGGTCTGTCTTAGGGGAAACCTATAACTTAGGCGATACGAAGTTCGCCGGGTCAGCTAGTAATAGTATAGATAGATGGATAGATAATGGATTTTAAATAAGTTACAAATATTGGTATCGTCTGAACACTCGCCTAGTAATGCCTCGAGATGAGTTGATGGTAATTATATGTAAGTTATGTTGCCCAACTAAGATAAAGTTTTTTTATGTACCCTTGACATACCGTTTACCTGGATGACCACGTTCAACCTTTAGGTTGATAGAGATGGGGTACAAGTCCACAAAAAGTAAGTGCTCTAAAGAAAAATAACATGTAAACTACTGTAATTGAATTTACCAAAGATTAAGCTTCATTTTACCACAGATAAGAATTTCTGCACAAAAATGTATAAATAAGCCGAACATGATTTTAAGTTACTTTGCAAGACGTACTGCTTTACTTGCTACTTTAGTTTTGCTGGTGTTCTAATTGTATTATTTATTAATGCATTACTTTACATCATACGTACGTAAGCGCTTGGAACCACTTACTTATAAAATTAAAAACAGTAAAATGAAGTTTAAAGCTTTGCAATAGTAAATGATAAGCTTTGACTATGAGTCAATGGTATAAGTAAAATAATTTATCTTTTTCAATTAGGTTTATTTACAATGTTTTTTTTTTATTTTAGTTGGAACAGCTTCTCTTAAGCATAAACTTGGCAAACAACGTCGTTCTTAGAATGATTGCAGATATCTTTTTAGAGTTATTTTTATTAATACATGGTCTACACTATACAAAACAGCGTTATTAGTATTTTTACGCACTACTAAGTTATTTTAAATGAACCTTATGCAGTATTAGTAAATTACTACTTAACCTACATTTGTAACAAGGTGACTTAATTGTTAATTCGTACACTAAACAGTTATTACAAGCTAGAACAATTTACATAGTTTACCTACAGTTTAGTATTAGATAAATTACGAAAACGAGTGTACAAATGCTTAGTAATTAATTATATTACTACATTGACATGAATTAAATAAGGTTGATGAGTTAGATGGCGATTTGTTTAAGTGTTATATTCTCTGTGCAAAGATTGACATAGATTGAATATTTAGGTATGAGGTTGCATTCTGGGTATACAGTGCAGGACACAGAAATTAATTGTCGTATATAACAATCAGTATACATAAGCTTACTAATTCAAAACTACATCGAAATAAATCGGGGACGAACCAAACGATGTATTGTATTTCTTGTGAAAAGTTACACATTTGGGTATGAATCTACATCCTGGGTATATGTGAGAGTAGTTCAGGTCGTAAGGGCTGCAAAGATAAATTATAACGAATCTATAACACAATTTGAAACAAAGTTTTTCTTGTCAAAGCAGTCTCTGTTTCCACAATCTCTGGATGACGTCACTCTATTGTTTGAGGAACCCCAGGACTCCCACACATACAGGCAGGAAGGTGATGATTAGAGACCTCGACAGGACGACCGCAGAGTTGCACGCGTCTCCGAGACAGGTCCTGCAGAAAGTGTCCTTAGACTTGAGTTGGGCGCAGACGTCGAACGTGTCCGCACGGGGTATAGTGCAGCTTCGAACCACTTCATCACCGTCGTCTCCTGGAGAAATAGAGGAGAAAATGGAGGAGAGTATATGAAATTGCAATTTAACAGCTGATCATTTAGTTAGGTTTTCGACAGACAGATTGTAGAGACAAAACTGTTTATGAAAATATATTTTAAATAGGCAACGTT